AGGATGAGGATGAGGATGAGGATGAGGATGAGGATGAGGATGAGGATGAGGATGAGGATGAGGATGAGGATGAGGATGAGGATAAGACTGAGGATGAGGTTGAGGAAAAAGATGAGGCTGAAGATGAGAATGAGAGTGAGGATGAGGATGAGGATGAGGGTGAGGATGAGGATGAGAGTGAGGGTGAGGGTGAGGATGAAGATGAGGGTGATGAAAAGGGAATGTGAAACACATGATTATTTAGTTTCTTTTCAAAAAATTTCATGTTTCTCTGTATCATTGCATTTTTTTTGGTTTTGTTCTGTAATTGTTATCTTAATAGTTATAGATTTATAAAGTGTTAAAAATATTAGTTTTAATTAGTTTAAAATATTTTTTTAAAAAAAAGAACAAAAAGAATTATATATATTTTATCATAATATATCAATTTATAACAAGACATTTATTAACATGTGCTTGAATTTAATAAGTTTTATCATTAAAAAATATTGTATATATATACTTACTAAAAGATGAAACACTAATCTTACAAGAGATGTCTCTTTAAAATTATTATCTTTGCATAATTTAATATATATATATAGATACTTATATATATAGAATGTTCTATAGAATAGATGAGCAAACTTCACAAACTTTACAACTTCACTATTAAAAAATTAATAATTACTAATCATTAGCGAAGCTTATTTCTTATATTGCCTACCTATTCTATAGAATATCCTATATGTAATTAAACTTTATACAAGTCATTCTTGTTATAGTAAAGCATTTAAGCTATACCGTATTTTCGCATAATAACGCCCATGAGCGTTATTTCGAATTTTGGCCCGAATTAAGCTTAATTTAGGCCAAAATTTGAAATTACATCCCTGCGCGTTATTACGCGAAAATACAGTAAGATTTTTTTTCTATATCAAGAGTTTGTTAATAAGTTTATTATATATAAAAGATTTTTATATAAACTGTTCTTTACTATAATAAGAGGTTTATTATAACAAGAGTTCACTATAACAAAAGTGACTTGTACTAGATATAGTTCTTATTTTGTTATTAGTTATATATTCAACCAATCAGCAAATCAGTATTACATAAGGAGCAAAACTATTATTCTAGTAGTATTGACAGATTTTTACTAATTAATATTAATTGTTCAATTAGTTAACATTATAATAACAAATATGTACAATTTTCAAATTATAAAACATAATATTAGAGTTAGATTTAATTAGTGTACAGAAAATAGTTATATAGAAAAAAGAATATTCTATAAAATAAATAAGCAAACTTTGAAAACTCTGCAACTTTACAATCAAAAATTAATGATTACTAATTATTAGTGAAGCTTATTTCTTACCATAAATTCTTGAAATAGCAGGCAGAGACACACTATTTTGACTATATATGCACTATTTTAAATATAGCTATAGGCATTATTTTGAATAAACAAGTTAATTTTTTGAATATAGAGTTTTTTAAAATAGCACCTATATGAAATATATAATAGAATACATATTATTTTAGAGTGTGCATAGGCATTATTTCAAAACTAAATATAAAATTTTTAGGAGCATGATTTTTGAATTAATGCTATGTCTGTTATTTTGAGAATTTACAGTATATTGCTTATCTATTCTATAGAATAATCAAAAAAATTTAAATTATAGATACTGTTTTAAAAAATATATAATTTTTATATTATATTTGATTTTGTAATATAATTAGTTAATTTATATACAATAGACAGTTTATAGTTCTAAAATTTTTTCTGATAATCCTCTAATCAATAATAACAAAAAACTGAACTATAAAAAAATGATATAGAAATATTCAAAATAAATACTTTCTCAGTTCTTTTTTTAAGTACAGTTTATCTTTGTTATAGCAAACCCCATTAAACCAGATCCCTCACTATAATGGTGTATTTTACCAGAACCAAAATTCAATTATTTATTTTCTCTCGCTATTACAAATTTTCATATGATAATTTTCTATAATGGTTGCAGATTAAGTTGTGCTACCAAGCATACATACAAAATTTTAGCTATAACAGATTTATAATCTAATTGGTTCATTATGAACCAATAGGATTACAAAATTATTGCCAAAAAGTGATTAATTGCATATGTGAATAAAACTGGGTTAGTAAAGCAGGTAGAATATAATTAGTATGATTTTCATAGAACAATAGAGTTTATTGTAATATGTAATATAAAAGTTTATTCTAATAATATAAATGCATATGATTGAAAGTAAATAAATAAATAAACCCCTAACAATCAGATAACTGAAAACAATTGCACTTAACGCAAACGCTTCGCTAATAACAGCACTTCAAAACAGCCATAATAACTTGGCAAAGGGTCAATCAATAGCTTAATTCTTAGCTGATTGTTCTCCTATTTTTTGACAATAAACTCCACTCTTTGTATACTGCATTACCGCCGGTTTCAAAGTATGGAAAACGTTACTGATGATCAAATAGCAACACGTTTCTATGACCATTTAAAAGGACAGCGCTCTGTCCCCAACCATAGCAAAAAATTTGTGACCCAAAGCTTGCTTAGAATTAAGCAATACGTAGAATCGAATGTCAAAGAACTTGACAAGGAAAGAATCTTTTTAGTCTACTTCGAAGATGACGATGATGGCGCAACCTACATTGCCCTGCCCTTATTAATTCGCAACGGACACCACTACATCCTCTCGCATGACGGACTCCTGTCAATTAGATTATTGTCCATTCACGCCTATGAACTGAATGAGCTCTTCCTCGATACCGTAGGAAGAAAACTCAATTGCTCAGACAAAATAGTCGTGGTTGAAAAATCCAATCAAATCGATGGGCACAATGCAGCACTATTTCATGACGGTTTGAATAGTGAAATTTGCCTCGCCGAACTTGACAAAGATGATCAAATTCTCAAAAAAATTGAACTGCTCCCCGGAGGTTCATCAGAAGACTTAAATATTTCAAGCAAATTGCAAACCAAAATTAAAATGATAGACACAGCTGAGAGCGAAGGGATTATTTCTCACGCAAGGGCCGAACTTTTTCGTGCTAAACTTCCCTACAAACCAGACTTCACAACAGACGAAATCAAAGAACTTAAAAAGAATCACACTCCGATCACTAAAGTGATGCTGGCTGATCACGCTCCTTTGATTAATCACCCCTCCACCAACGTTGACACCGCAGAACCCGCTATTCACTCAGCTCAAACAACCAAGGTCCCCATCCACCTCCCTCCTGTCAACCCAGAATACCTAAACAATTACTATCTCGAGAAACTTAAATTAGCCGAAAAGCAAGAGAAGTTCATCCCCAACCTTGGTTTTACCGAACAGTTTAACGACACCAAACCATTCACGTCAGTTTTCCCCCACCACTCAAACAAAGATGAGGTCACTTTTTGGTGGTCCATTAGAGAAAGACTCAATTTCATGAGTTCAACCAGGAACAACTTGCAGCTAAAAAAAACAATCACTCGAGTTCTTGGTTCTCAACTTTTCGAATCTTTCCTGAGAGCGATTCCATTAGAGAGACGCACCTTTGATGAGCAACTATACATCAAGAAAGTTGAAGAAAATGCCAATAAAAGGCTTCACAAATCGCTCGCCACCTTAATGAACATTGCCGACCGAGCAGACACCCACTGGCCAGACAATTTCGCGGATATCTTTATTAAGAGTCAGATTCTTAAAAAACTAGAAAAAATGTGGAGCTCAGCAAAGGCCGGTCAAACTTTAGCCTCTCTTCACGAATTCGCCATCTACATGATAGGCTCCATAGTTAGAATGGTCAGCTATTACGTTCACTCCAAAATTGCAGAAATGAAAGAGAGAATTGACAGTAGCAACAGAAGGCCTGGTGATCGCAACTTGTTCATTCTTGGAACAAATGATCCAGTTCAGATGGAAAAATTTGTAACCAGTTACTAGAAAAACACTGAGTGCCTAACCAATGACTATACAAAATACGATCAGAGTCAAAATCATGAATTTCTCCATTTCGAAGACCTTCTACATCAACACCTTGACATCCCAAAAGTTTTGAAAGACATGTACATTTGGCTTAAAACTAACACTCAAACATTCCTGGGAAATCTATCAGTGATGAGAGTCACTGGCGACGCTGAAATATATGATTACAATACAATAGGAGACATAGCCTACACCTTTCTCAATTACATTATTTCCGATGAAATGGTAACCATGTTTTCAGGAGATGATAGCTGCATCTGTGGGATGCCTGAAGTTTCAACTCTCTTTAAAGAAATTGAGCATGAATTTGCATTGCAAGGCAAACCCTTAATTGATAAAAATTTCATTTTTTGCGGTTGGCTAATCAAGAAAGCAGGTATTCTCAAAATCCCTAGATTAATTCATGCAAGAATCAATATCGCAATTGAAAGAAAGAACCTAGAAAATGTTATCGCGAGCTACGCGGCTGAGTCACACTTTGCCTTCAACAAGAGAGCCGAACTCTGGGACTTGCTCGACGAGTTTGATTTATTCACTCAATCTTTTTTAAATCAATTTTAATTCAACCTCTCCCACATGATCCCTGAGCAGTTCTACCATAAATGAACAGGGAACAACAATCAGAAAACGAACTAACTCTGAGCTGGAGGTACTTGCCCAAAGAACCAGCTCCTACACAGTAAAGTGAATCAATAACGTAAACTTTGAGTTAAATCTTTGTGCCAATTTTTACAAAAAAAAAAAAAAACCAACTAATCTAAAACACAAAACATTTAATAAGCTTAGCTCACACTGTTCAGTCCTTGCATACATGGATGATACACT